TATTAGCGAAAATGAGATCATTATAGTAACTTTTACTTACTAAATATCTTTACACACCTCATTTAAAATGATAATCTTCTTTGGAAAACATTTCCTTTTTCATGCATAGGACCAATTTGTAAAATCTCAAAGATATTTTTTTGAGTAGATTGTCAATGTCATTTCCAAATGATATTTCTTTATTGCTAGCATACTGAAAGTATAGATTGCTGCTAGCCTTCACTTATAAATCCAATGTTTTATAGGTTACATCCTAAGGTCTTAAAATAGTCAAGTGTTAAGAAATATTACATCAAGATCTTCCTGACTTGTCAAAAGCCTAGTTTTTCTTTTCTTTTTTTTTTTTTTACATTTTCTCTCTTTTTTTAAATTCTTTATTAATTACACTTTATTCACTTTGTATCACCCCTGTGGTTCCTTCCCTCCTCCCATCCCAATCCCTCCCTTCCCCCACCCTCTGCATGCCAGCCCCTCCCCAAGTCCACTGATAGGGGAGGTCTTCTTTTCCTTCCTTCTGATCCTAGTCAATTAGGTCTCATCAAGAGTGGCTGCAGTGTGTTCTTCTGTGGCCTGGTAATGCTGCTCATCCCTCAGGGGGAGGTAATTAAAGAGCAGACCAATCAGTTCATGTCAGAGACAGTCCCTGTTCCTATTACAATGAAACCCACTTGGATATTAAGTTGCCATGGGCTACATCTGTGCAGGGGTCTTAGGTTATCTCCATGCATAGTCCTTGGTTGGAGTATCAGTCTCAGGAAAGACCCCTGTGCTCAGATTTTTTAGTTCTGTTGCTCTCCTTGTGGAGTTTCTGTCCTCTCCAGATCTTACTGTTTCCCACTTCTTTCCTAAGATTCCCTGCACTCTGCCCAAAGGTTGCCTATAAGTCTCAGCATCTGCATTGATAGTCTGCAGGGCAGAGCTTTTCAGAGGTCCTCTGTGTCAAGCTCCTGACTTGTTCCCTCTTTTCTTCTTCTTCGGAAGTCCATCCTCTTTGCCTTTCTGGATAGGAATTGAGCATTTTAGCCAGAGTCCTCCCTCTTGATTAGTTTCTTTAGGTGTACAGATTTTAGTAGGTTTATCCTATATTATATGTCTATATGAGTGAGTATATACCATGTGCATCTGTCTGCTTCTGGGATAGCTCATTCAGGATGATCTTTTCCAGATCCCACCATTTACCTGCAAATTGCATGATTTCCTTGTTTTTTATTGTTGAGTAATATTCCACTGTGTAGATATACCACAATTTGTGCAGCCATTCCTCCACTTAGGGGCATCTGGGCTGTTTCCAGCTTCTGGCTATTACAAATAAAGCTGCTACAAACATGGTTGAGCAAATGTCCTTATTGTGTACTTGAGACTCTTTTGGGTATATGCCTAGGAGTGGTATAGCTGGATCTTGAGGAAGGGCTATTCCTAGTTGTCTGAGAAAGTGCCAGATTGCTTTCCAGAGTGGTTGTACAAGTTTACATTCCCACCAGCAGTGGAGGAGGGTTCTCCTTTCTCCACAACCTCTCCAGCATGTGTTGTCTCTTGAGTTTTTTATCTTAGCCATTCTGATGGGTGTAGGGTCGTTTTGATTTGCAATTCCCTGATGAAAGTTTAGTTTTTTTCAACCAGGCTGGCCTCAAACTTTTGGTAGTCCTGCCTTTGACTCCTCAGTGCTGGGATAACGGTCATGAACCATCACCGGTAGCAAAATTCTTATTTTATTGATGTTTTACCCATCAGTAAAATATAAATTTTAGTTACTTTGTATGCAATGTGTTTAACGTTTGTAACTAGAAATGGAAAGATTATTCAATGACATTTAGGTGATGGAGTAAGAGGAAGACTTGAATAAGGCCTGTTCTAATGTTCTGGCTAAATGATTCTCAGATGGCAACAAAGTACGCTTTTCGGAATACAAACCCTATACTAATTCATATCTACTATAATCCAATATTACAAATTTACATCTAATTTCAAGTCCTCTATGAATTCAATTAGAATTAATTCCACCTCATTTTGAACACATTATTGAATACATTTTTCAAGTCTAATTCTGATCCTGGTGATTTGAGATGATTTGTGTTTTAGAAACATTTATATGCAAGTTTGGTAGAATATCAAATTTATCTCATTGCATGTGGAGCTCAAGTAAAATGAAAATTTATCTAATTATAAAGGTAGATGCAGACTTTTACTATACAAACATTATAATTATTTGTTTATACCTATATTATTTAGACAGATGACATGTGTAAATATAATTGAGAAAGCAATGAAATAGCAATATTAAAAAGAAAATGAAATAGAAGAAACCTCCTGCTTTATTCACATTATACATGCATAAATAAATTTATAATTTTAGATCTGATTTATGGATATATAGTTATAGCATTCTGAAGGACTAGAGTTGGCAAAATGAACTCATTTTCTTTTCTCTTTTTTACAGCCCTGGAAATCTGACCTGTAGAGTAATTCTCTCTCTCAGTAAAAGCTGCATTAGATCCTTGTGGCTGTCCTGAATTACAAAAACACCCCTGGTATTTGACTCACTTAAAATTTTCAGCCTTGAAACTGGTGGGTATATCCAGAGTGACAGTAATAAAACCTCCAAGCCTAACTTACAATGGAGGCTCTGCACCTCCTCACTGGTCATGCTCTAGAAGCAGGATGTAGCACAATGTTAGGGCAGTAGAGACTCCACTTCCAAGTTATTTCTTTCTCTCCTCACTTGTTTACATACTTTATTTTGGATTGCAGGAGGCCCCAGTGTGGTGGAAAAAAACTGAGGGAACCTGAAGAATTCTAGATACCAAGGCTATTGTGCCAGCTTCCATTCATTAGCTGTCTCATCCAGTGGGTGTCAGAACTGACCCTCCATCCTTTTCAGAATTTCTGTTCCACGAAGGGCTCCTCAAGCAAACATTTGCTCTGTTCTTTGCCCATATTTCTCTGACAGGAAATTTTGGATTTCTCTCCGGAGACTTCTCTTGGAATTTGGCTGCCTGGGATACTTGTTGTGAGATAAAGTACAACTTAAGATGACTGTTAGTCCACATGTATGTATTGGCCTACCTTCAGGCTTTTTGGTCCATAATAACTCATGTTAATTTTTTAAAGAGAGCCTACTATGCTATTATCTCCTATGAACATGTTGTTTATAATGATAGCCAAAAGTTCTCCATGGGATCAATAGCTCCATATCAGTAACTAATGAATTCGTCCAGAAGGAAGGCACTATTATTGTTCCCAACAATAGGGTCCTCTTTGCTTGTGCCTCTCCATACATATGTTTTATTTCAAGATTATGAATAAAATAAATAAATCCTCCACATGAGAAAAAGGTGTTAAGAAAAACTATAATGAGATTGTTGTGTCTTCTATTTACTTTAACACATATCGAGAGCAAACTATAAAATATCTAGACCATAGGTCTAGCCATTGTTTCCCTTCAGTAGCCTAGATTTGATACACTGTGTTTTTATTAATTAAACCTACTTAAGACTGTTCCCAAAATCAATATTATTCTTTTCAAAGCCCAGTTTAGAAAGACAATACTCTCCTCAACAAGATCAGTGCTTTGTATATCACAATGATTTGGATTATTTTGTGAACAGCAAAGGGAACTGTATTAATTAGAAATATTATCTACCACAAACAGAGATGTTCAGATGTGGCCAGCTCAGGACCTTGAGACAAAAGGTGTTCTAAACTTAAGACTCATGTATTTGTAAAGAGAGAAGAGGACAACAGAGACAAGGGGAGGAGGCCAAGCAAAGACTGGGGAGCTAAAGACTCTGAAGAAATATCAGGAGGCACCAGAAGCCACAAAGTCACAGGGGTCACTCTCAAGCCAAGAAGGGACCTTGGTATTGCTGACTGAAGAGAAGAGAAAGAAGAGGTAGAGACTGTGTTAGATAAACTGGATTCAGAAGGACTCTGTGACCTCTCTTGAGTACATGCAGACAGCACTCAGGGCATCATGATGTGAGGAGAAAATACTTTTGGCAGAGGAAATGGCAAATGAAGGAAATAATGGCCAGGGCACTGCATGGCATGAAGCAGGTGGAGAACAGGGATAAAATGAGTGCAGATAATCAAAGCCTGTTCAGTACTCATGATCCTGAAGTTCAGTTTTCCACTGAAACGTTTCTATTGTGTCTTTCAGAAGTGTCTACTACTCATGTCCACGTGGACAGGTATAAATAAGTGGTTCTCAACCTTCCCAACGCTAAGACCCTCTAACACAGTTTCTCTCGTTGTGGTGACCCCAAACAGAAAATTATGTTCATTGCAACTTCATCACTGTAATTTTGCTACTGCTGTGAACCATAATGTAAATATCTGTGTTTTCTGATAGTCCTAGTCAACCCTTGTGAAAGGGTCCTTTGACCTCCAAAGGGCTGGTGACCCACAGGCTAAGAACCACTGGCATAAATGAAAGGCTAGAGACATTGTGCTAAGCTTCAGTAAATCCGAGAGAGAAAAGAAAAGATGGCTAGGCATGAGCAGACATTAGCTTTATCTATTTTTGTCCCTTTCCTTTGATCTTGGCTCCATTTACTATGACAGTAGCTATGACATTTTTCAAGTATAAATTTGTACAATGACAAACATAGAAGAGTACTTTTAAAGATGATCAGCCGGTTCTCCTCACTTTACATGCATGATTTGCTCGGGCTTGACACCAGGAAACAGAACAGAGGGAAAGCTCCTTAAAATGAAATCACTAACAGGAGGTGATTGAAAGCATGCATACAAGTGACATTATAGAGACTGAGCAAGTCACATACACGCACACATGTGACCATGTGCATAAGAACAATTAATGAAAAAAGATGCCATGAATTTGAAAGAAAGCAAGAAGGGATAAAAAGAGGAGGTTTTCAGGAAGGAAAGGGTAAGAGAAAATGATATAATTACATTATTATCTTAAAATACAAAAGAAGTAATTAAAATATCAAATCACTGCTGCTTTTCACAACTCCTTTGGCAGTCTTTCTTCTCCCATCCTCATATACAGGACTCTGTTTCTGGCACACACCTAGTAGTTGAAAAGGACCCAGATTCCAACTTAAGAACTTGTGTTCTGGAACATGTAATGAGTAAATGGTTCAAACATTAATTCAATGTCTTTAACCTAAAACGAAAGAAACAAAACATTAAAATAAAGATTAAAACATGATTTTCATGAGTAGTTCTCTCGTGCTGATACATTGAAATACACAGAAACATCTATCATTTTGTAAAAGAGATGTTGAATTAAGAATTGTTGCAGAAATTGCTATTTTCACTTGTTTTCATGAATATAATTTGCATCAAATATGAGCAATCACTTTTTAATGTTTTATTATTTTGAACGATGATAAATAATGATAAATAATCTAGTGAATATTGGCTTATAACCAAGATAGATGTATCATTGAAAATATTTTGAAGGTAAATGCCATATTAACTAATTCATTATGAAATTCTTTAATGTGTTTAACGATTTATTCAGTAAATACTGTTGCCTGTTCTATATATTACATAAGTACTATGGTGATATTATAAATTAATATCATTTATAGTCCAAAGAAAGTCACTATGATGCAAGCAGACATGCAAATTAGCAGTTTTGGAGCAGCCTATGAAATGCTAGTACGATGATGACACAGTGATGAAGCATTTTATGAATGGGGGGAAGATAGAACTTCAGATGTGGCCTCCTAAAAGAAGCAGAGCTTGAAGTGGAGTTAGGTTAGTTGCCCACAACCTATCAGGCAAGAACGAATAAATGAAGAATCCCGAAAAATAACATATAAAAGTTCACAGAAGCATGAACTAACGCACACAGTGTGTCATAGAGGGTCATGGAGAATTAACTTTATATCGAAAATGTAGAAAGCCTTACAAGCTAAGCTATGGGATGCTGCAATCAAGTGAAATATGAAATTTCATAAATCAATGAAAGATAAAAATGATCTACCTTCAGGCAGACTACATTCCTACTTTAGGATACAAATGCATTTTTTTTTCTTCCCCCTCAGCTGAAGGGTCGGTCCTCTAGATTGTTCCCAAATTGAAACTGTCACTCAGGCTCTGTTTTAAAACTTCCACCTTATGAGAGCCTTTTCCTTTGCTGTAAGGCAGAAGTGGTGCTGCTCCCCGAGCCTTTTCTAAGCTTTTCACTTTCTTTATGTGTAAAGCTGTTGCATGGGGAAAAAAACAAACAAACAAATAAACAAACAAACACAGAATAAGCACCAGATTTACAACTTTATATTAAACATATATTCCCTGGATTTCTTGACTCTTCATTCTTGTAAATTAGGCTGAGAAAAATAGTAGAAATTGCCAAACAACATTTGGTGTAGTAAAGACTCCAAGGAATAGCTAGTTGGCGGCAGCCCCTCTATTCTCTAAAAAATGTTTTTTCACTAATATCCAAATGTATATGATAAAAGCAGAAAAAAAGGACCTTTTCAGAGATGTTAGTGAGTCATCACAAAAGGATAAACCTAGTGCAAAATTAACAGGTAAAATGAAAAATAATGCAACATTTTGGGCAGAATATAAAAGATATTTCTAAATACTTGAAGAATATTTCCTTTGTAAATTTTTCTAGCCTTGAAGACAGATCTAAATGGTCTCCAGAGGAAAAAAAACAAGGAAATGAATTTCCATTGGCTCTACGAAAAATTACATTTTTATTTACCATTTTCTGTAATGTGGGAATTTGGCATTTATTTATAAATTAATATTCTTTAAAACTTCCTGGAGTTTTGAAGGGCAAATGTAATATTTTTGTTATTTTGTAATCCATAAAATACCTTAGTGAATCCTTGAATTCTGCAGTCCCACACTCACATAAACTCTCTCTGCCCCTTGCCTCTTCAATTTTGATTCAACAATCCCCAAACACCTATTTATGTCAAATGAAGGTGATATATCTTTATTTCTAGTTCTCTTACCACCTGCACTGTTGACAAGAGAAATTACATCTTAAACACAGCCTAACACAGGAAATCCAATTGCAGGGTATTGAAAAATATATCCAAGAAATTTACTTTTACTGAGGCTTTGTAGTTGGCATGATTTACAAGTTGAAAACAGATCACCATGAGGAACCGAACAGAAGGATATGGAATGCTTTCAGAGCTATTGAGAGGAACGTAGCAGGCCGAATTTGTGCAGTCCTATATGGAGAACACTAGAGCAATTTCAAAATCAAACATTATTGATATTAAGCAGCGCAGTGGGAGCCTCGCGTCTGAGAATATAGTGCTGCGATAACCGAGGCAATGCTGGCATGCACACCTAGTAGTTAAACAGACGAAGATGTGCAGTGGGGAAGTCACTCTCGATCGATAAAAATGATTGCCATGACTTGTTCTCAATTCTATTCCAGCTTTATGTTATCATTTTTTTTCTCTCGATGTCAAAGTTCTCTCTCCAACTTTGTAACTAGGTGACATGAAATTTATCTTTTTATCTTCATAAATTTGTAGCAGCTTTGATTTTCACCTAAGTTTGACTGGCTTCCTTAACGTCCAGCTTTACACTGATATCCAATTGTCTTATAAATTTCTGGATAATTTTCTTGTTCTGAGATCTAGTAAAGGAAGGTGGAAGACTAAAATCCTATAAAAGGATAAAATGATTTCCAGTTATATCAGTGCCCATCTTATAATTTCTCTTAGAGAAACTTGCCCTGCTTTAACTTTAAGACTCATTCTCTTTGATAGATTATAGAAGAGACAGTTGTGTCGCGTTCTTACAATCTTTTTCCAGATTTGAATCATCTGGTGATTTTAAACCCTTTAAAATTTTTAAATGTATTAGTGTCAGCTGATTTCGCATTTAATCTACCAAGCAGTTTTCTCTTCGTGTTCACTGATAGCTATGTGTTCCTTTTCTTCCTGCTAACATCGTGTCCTTTGTCCTCTCAGCTTTTGTGTGGAACAAAAAGAAAAGTTACGGTCTCAAAGAAAATAGTTCAGAAGCCAAGCTGGGATGATCTGAACATTAAACTGTGAATCTGGAAGAAAGATAATGAAAAGACCCGTGTCACATGTTATGAGTTCAGTAGCTGATTACATAGGAGTTAAAAATATTTTTTATTTAATCTAGAATTTCAAAGAGTCTCACATTTAAGCAAATGGATGGGTATCAGTGAATGCATAAATTACATGAATTACATTTAGTACTTTGAAGATAATGCATTTATGTACTTCATAATTACTATATGCACATGTTTAACATAATGTCATGTTATAGGGATATTATAAAATACACATATTTTGATGAGAAGCTTAGAATAAGATCACTAGCACCCAGAACATTCTTAGACCTCTATGACTCTCAGAATTGTTAAAAGAGAAATATACCTTATGAAAGAATGCCTGGGCATCTTCAAACATTATTAAAATTATTATGATAAGAACTACATTCTCATTGTCTCCAAAGCTCACCAGCATGTATATTTTGCAATCATTTGACAGAAGCATAAAATTAAAAAAATCTCAAAATATATTTATCCAAATACTAGGAAATGCATTTAACTGTACCTATTTCAGAACCTAATTCATTCAATTTCTTCCCACAGCTTACTTGGCCCCACATATTTGTTCACTATTGATGAATGTAGAATCCCCAGCAGCCAAGTAAATGATGAGTGGTAATAGAGGCCTGTCTATACTCCCGGCACCTGGGAGGTAGAGATTGGAAATCTCTGGAGTAAGCTGGCTAGACATACTAGCCAAATTAATGAGTTGTGATTTCTGTTGACAGACCATGTCAGTAAACAAGGAGGAAATCAAGCAAGGATGTAACATCAGCTTCTGGCCTCCCCACATTTATGCACATAAGTACATGAAGGTCTGCACAGACACATGCATTCACATGTGAACATACATGTACACATATGCACACACACACCTCGTGTGTAAAATGAAAAAAAAAGATTAACATTAAGCTGGATTAAAATGAAGATCATCAACATAGCATTATACAAAACAAGGTACTACTCACTGTTTAAGCTTGAAGAGGTATTTGAATGCATATACTGAGAAGACGAAGAAGATATTAGAAAAATTAAGATGTACCTCTTAGAAGCTGAGGGAAAATAATATTAAACAAATATCTGCTATTATGACCAGAGAAGTAAAACACAAGCAAATTGCACTTAAGAGGTTTTCTGTATATATGGGTACATTAAAATTCATAAGATGATTTTAAAAGACTTGGAATTCACAGAATGAAAAGTGGGAAAGTGGACTATTTATTTAAATTTCAAAGAGTGGAGGGGTGAAAAGGAAATAGAAAAGCTATTTGATATCATAAAATCAAAGTATCTCAAGTTTTTGCAGTGTCTAAAATTTTCTACTAAGAAAAGCCTGAAAATAAAAATATGATAATGTTTTTTTGAGCTTACTAGATTATGAACTATGATGGAAGAATGAAAAATCCAAATAAATAGAGAGAAAAAGAAAAAGAAATGGCAACTCAGATATTGATATTTGAGCCACAAGACAGTGTGTAGATTGAGTACGAAGAACTATTATGTATCGGGGTCCAGATAGTATCATCCTACTATATTTTATGAATAGGCCGAATATAATAACAAAAGTACTGGGAATTCTCCTTGGAGAATCTATTAAGATATGTAAAACTTAGGAAAAAATTTAAAAGTAACAGAAAAAAAATAGATACATTTCTCATGTGTTTTCTTGAGCCAATCAAACTTCTCTACAGCTTAGAATCTCCATGGTTATGCTGGAGCAATGACTTAAGAAAACTTTTTTTTTAACTTTTATTAATTACACTTTATTAACTTTGTATCCTCCCATAAACCTCTCCCTCCTCCCCTCCTAATCCCACCCTCCCTCTCTCTTCTTGACACATGCCCCTCCCCAAGTCCACTGATAGGGGAGGTCCTCCTCTCCTTCCTTCTGATCTTAGTCTATCAGATCACATCAGGAGTGGCTGCATTGTCATCTTCTGTGACCTGGTAAGACTGCTCTCCCCTCAGGGGGAGGTGATCAAAGAGCAGGCCAATGAGATTATGTCAGAGGCAGTCCCTCTTCCCATTACTATGTAACCCACTTGGACACTAAAGCTGCCATGGGCTACATTTGTGCAAGGGTTCTAGGTTATCTCCATGCATGGTACTTTGTTGGAATATGAGTCTCTGGAAATACCCCTGTGTTCAAATTTTCTGGTTCTGTTGCTCTCCTTGTGGGGTTCCTGTTCTCTCCAGATCTTACTATTTCCCACTTCTTGCATAAGATTCCATGCACCCTGCCCAACAGTTGGTCATAAGTCTCAGTATCTGCTTTGATAGTCTGCAGGGCAGAGGCTTTCAGAGGCCCTCTGTGGCAGGTTCCTAACTTTTTTCCTGTTTTTTTCTTCCTCTGATGTCCATCCTCTTTGCCTTTCGGGATGGGGATTGAGCATTTTAGTCAGGGTCCTCCCTCTTGATTAGTTTTAAGAAAACTGTTTAAGCAGATCTTTTTCCCACTCTGTGTACTTTCATGACCATGAATTTCATACAGAAGTACTGTATAAGAACTAAAGTTCTTTTAAAAAGTTCTAGCAACTGAAATGATCTAAGACTCTTGTCAATTTAGCCAAGTTTTGCGTTTGGTCAGAGTTTGCTATTCTATTTCCCTCTCTGTTGGATAAAGCCAGAATTTTAAAGCATTTGCTTGCACATTCTCTGCAGTTGAAACTCTTTCCTGACTTGGACATTCAATTCTAGTTATTGGACTTCGACTGGGCAAAGCCAAGCAATCACTGGACTGGACCAGCAATGACACAGGTAAGGTACACATCAACTTACAACACCTGTAGTTACCTTCACAAGACTTACATAATATCAAGCCTGTCAGAGTTTCAACGCGAGTGGGGTGGTCCCTCCAACTCTAGATGGAGGAGTTATTGGCAGTGATGACTCCAGAGGGGTGTTTCCTACTTTGGAGACATAACATTAGGTTATGCATGGTTCCATACTCATGAGTACATGAGTAGAACTAATTTGGCTTGGAGGTTATTAATGAAAATAAAACAAGAACATGAAGCTGAAGAGTCATAATTGGCAGCACCAGGGCAGTTGAAGGGAGTTAATTGATGTATATGATCAAAATACATAGGAAAATGTATGAAATTTCCAAAAAATAAATTTTAAGTCATTATTTATAAATAAAGCTATTCAGTATTATGGCTAACCACCTTGTAACATAATTTAGGCAATGCTTGGAGGAAAAAAATATAGTCTATAGTAGTACAAATGTTAACACACTATAGAATGAAACTTGAAACCTATATGAACTTTTAAATAAAAAGGAGATACAAATAAAAAAGCTAAGGTTGATAAGAGGTAAGGAATTCCTCACAAATTCATTTTAATTAAAAGTCTGAGGATCTACACTATGCAAAGCAAATCAACATAATTAGATTGTTTTTTATGTAAAAGAATAAGCATATGACAAACTTGTCCTTGGACTCACTACAAAGAGCATCACCTGCTCTTATCAGCACTGTCACCAGCATCACTCAGATTCTTACCCATCGCTGCCTCAAGTTCTAAAGAATCTAATTTCTTTTCTTAAATTCATGCTCATTTATAAATATCTCAATACCTAACAACAGATATCTCAATATATGTATACATATATATTACAATTCTAAGTCATTACTATGGATATATGTATTATTTTTATACTTATATATATTTAATCTATTTTATATTATATTATAATAAAAGAGATAAAAATCTATATGATTCCATTGATTCACCAGTTGTTTCTATACCAGTACTGTGCAGTTTTTATTACTGTTGCTCTATAGTACAGCTTGAGATCAGGAATGGAGATACCCCTAGAAGATCTTTTATTGTACAGGATTATTTTAGCTATTCAGAGTTTTTTGTTTGTTTGTTTGTTTTGTTTTTATATATGAGAAATATACTGAGAATTGTTCTTTCAAGGTCTGTAAAGAATTGTGTTGGTGTTTTGATGGGAATTGCATTGAATCTGTAGATTGCTTTGGGTAGGATAGGCATTTTCTCTATGTTAATCCTCCTGATCCATGAGCATGGGAGATCTTTCCATCTGTTGATATCTTCTTCAATTACTTTTTAAAATTTATGTATTTTTTATTTATTATAATTTATTCACTTTGTACCCCAGCTGTAACCCCTCCCACATCCCCTCCCAATCCCATCATCCCTCCCTCATCTCCTCCCAGGCCACTCTCCAAGTGTACTAATAGGGGAGGTCCTCCTGCCTTTACATCTGACCCTAGCCTATCAGTTCTAATCAGGACTGGCTGCATTGTCTTCTTCTGGGCCTGGTAAGACTGCTCCCCCCTCAGGGGGAGGTGATCAAAGAGCCAGCCACTGAGTTCATGTCAGATAGAGTCCCTGTTACCCTTACTAGGGAACCCACTTGGAGACTTGGGCTACATCTGTGCAGGGGTTCGAGGTGATATCCATGCATGATCTTCGGTTGGAGTATCAGTCTCAGAAACAGTGGGAACTAGAAAAGATCATCTTGAGTGAGGTATCCCAGAAGCAGAAAGACACAGATGGTATATACTCACTTATAAATGGATTTTAGACATATAATATGGGATAAATATACTATAATCTGTATGCCTAAAGAGGCTAAACAAGAAGGAGGACCCTAGGTAAGATGATCAATCCTCATTAAGAAAGGCAAACAGGATAGACATCTGAAGAGGGAGAAAACAGGGAACAGGACAGGAGCTTACTACAGAGGGCCTCTGAAAGACTCTACTCAACAGGATATAGAAGCAGATGCTGAGACTCATAGCCAAACTTTGGGGAGAGTGCAGGGAATCTAATGAAAGAAGAGGAAGATTGAACGTCCTGGAGGGGACAGGAGCTCCACAAGGAGAGCAACAGAGTCTTCAATTTCTTTCTTCAGAGACTTGAAGCTTTTTTTCATACAGGTCTTCCTCTTGTGGGTTAGAGTCAACATTAGATAGAACTTCTGAAACCATAAATTTAGCCTTAGTGAAAACAATTTAGTGAGCTTTGACATTGTGCCAGACAATGTGCCAGGTCCTACGACTGCAAAGATATCATGACATGGGTACTGTGCTACACATTGTCACCCATTCTTGCTGTAGAAGACAGATTTGAAAGCAAGGAAGTGTCTCAGAAGTCACAGTTCCACAAGAACATGTGGACACATGACTAACAGTGGTCTTTGCAATAGGAAAAAGCAGCCGAACTTATTTTTAAAATAGCGTTGTTTCCAGGGTTCTGTCTTCAGGTAAATAAGTATAAACCAGATAGATAGAGGGCTGTGTTTCAGACAGAATCTTGAGTTGGCCTAGGCCTAAAATGTGGTGGAAGACTGTTTAGAGTATTTTCTATCCTTGCTTTAATATGAATGTCACAAATTTCAGTTTTGAAATTTCTGACTTTCCTAATATAGCAAGGGTCTTGTTTTAATATCTGAGTGTTGTAAAAAATCCACATTATCTTAACTTCCCTGGGATATCAACCTTATAGGCATATGAAGGGAGATGTCCATTGCAGGCAGGCTGTCACCTTGAAGTGATAAAATGAGGACAGGAGACAGTGTGTTCTGTGAGGCTATAGTAGGCAGAGCTGTGCACCCCCCCCCCCACAAGATTTCAATGTCTAATCAGCAGAATCTCTGAGTTTGAGATGCTATGTGGCAAAGTGAGGAGAAGTTGAATATGGAACTTAAACTGCTAAATCAGCTAAGTCTAAAATAAGATCTTGGATTTTCTGGATGGTCTGGTATAATCACAGGAGTCTTGAAAAGTGGGAGTCTGAATCAGTGTGATGGGATGCATGAAGGACTCTGACAGGTATCATGATTTTGGATACAGAGCAAACCAGATAAAGAAATAGGAGTGCCCCACCCCCCACAGCCTCCAGAAAGAGCACAGACTCTAATATTTGGACTGTAACTAAGGATGATCTGTGTTAGAAGTCTCAACCCTAACTGTATAAATGAGTGTGGTCTATAAACTATCATCTCTGTGTTATTTTTATTACAGAAGCAATAGGAAACAAAACAGAAATGCTCAGGTGAGCCTAGATATCAATAGAGTCTTTGTTTGAATATCTACTGAACTGCTATCATTTTCAAAGCATGCAACTTCTCTGTACATCTTTGACGAGGATTTTTAGATGAGACATAGATTTCTTAACATATGGATAGAATTTTTGTGTCTGTGGTCAATCAAATGTCAAGTTCTCTGTTCACTTCTACTTACAAAGATCAACTCACAATATATACTTACTAATAAGGTTAATAAGGTCTTTAAATGTAACCTAGGATAATGACTTTAAAGTCACATGGACATGAATCAAATCACAACCCCATTCTTGCTGATGTTAGTTAAGTAATTTATAATATGAGGACTTCTATTTTCTCATCTATAGAAACAAACAGAAAAATATTAAGCAGGGCTTCATAGAGCCATACCTTGAGAATATGATCGGATGTAAATGATTATTAAGGAAATTATTCTAAAAAAGACAGTTACAGAATAAGCAAGATAGGAAAATAAGTGATTTTAGACCAAATCCTAGCTTCAGTAAGATTTTGCAAGGGAGCCTCAAGGCGGATATTATGTCTGTGATTTTCTTGCAACTAGCGGAGGCAGGCTTCTCTTCTGCTCTCTTGAGCAACACTTGACAAATGCATTGTGAGAGTGAAGTTAACTTCCAGGTGCTTCCTCAGGAGTTCCTAGTCTAGAACAGAAAACATAGAGTAGATTTTCAGGCATTCTTTCAGAAAGGGACACAATATGAGAAGCAAAAGCATTCAGAGATAAGGGAAAGCTATTCCAGCTCAATCACAGGGACCTGTGTCAGCTAAATCATAGAAATCTGATTTTCTCTGTCTCCTCTCTTTCACATGTGTGTATGTATGTTGGGGTGTATGTGAGTGTGCTTGTGAGAGAGAGATGTACACACACACACACACACACACACACACACACACACACACACACACA